TAGCTTGCTAACAGTCTCGCACCAATGACCTAGTTGATGTCATCCTTTATCCAGAATGCTTTGCGTGTAAATAAAATCTCTCCGTCCGTGTTAAAATATATTTTTAAAAAATTACAAAACTAAACAGCCTACAGTATTTTCACAGTCTTTGTTTTACAGTTAAAATATGTTTATTAAATAAAGCCTAATGTTACAACTAATCATGGATCCCTTTAAAAGTAAAAAATATGAGAGTTTTAGTCACTTTTGAGTTGTGGTGAGTAGTTGCTGTCTTGAATTCTGAACTCTCCTACTTTACAACAGGAAATTTCCTCTGGAGGGGCCCATCAGTTTAAAGTCGCAACTTGTAAGTGGGAAATTCCCACTTAAAAGCCACAACAAGGATATTTCATGTGCAAAACAATCAACATGCATTATGGTAGACATAGTTTATGGTCAATGCTGGCTTTAGAGCAGCATACACTTATTTTAAGACATTAAAACATCTTTGAAGCCCTCGCAGGCCACATAAAATGCAGAGGCGAGCCACATTTAGCCTGCAGGCCTCAAAAGTTAGACACGTGTGGATTAGAGGATATGTAAGACAAAGGTGAACCTGGCTGCTTGTAGACAGTCCATGCATCCAACTTAAAGGACCCCACAGAGACAGTCCTCAGCATTTTGGAGTGAACTGCCTGAAGGAAGATGGATCAACAAACCACAAAATGTGAGATGAAAAAAAGAAAACTCATTAAACTCTAAGTGCAACTGAAAATATATAGGTWTTGTTTTCTGATATTTATTCACCGTCAGCTTGATGACTTTGTCAAAGAAGATTTCTTTATGAGCAAAGAAGTCGAACACAAAATACTGGAGGAGAAAGGTAGAGGTTGATGACATTTCACAGCTGAAAGTAAAAATTAAACACCTGAAATTCAACAAAATTTTGGGAGCAACCCTAAAATATTTTCACCTCATTGTAAAATGGTGCATTGGTTCCCTCTTTGACAGTTGTCTGTTTCTTTTCATCCCCAATTTCAATGACCACACTGGGGTCGATGTTTTCCCCCACAAGCTGCCTGGCTTCTGTGATATTAATGGCAATCTGAGAGATAAACAAGCAACAATACCAGAGTTTTTGATTATCTTGGGGTGAAAAYGACAATGATGTAGATATTTTACCCTTACCTGAAAGCTCTGTGGTTTCCCTTCACCCTCTTGGATGCGAGTTATCAGTTTAGCTCTGTGGACATTCAAACAAACAAAAAAAGAGTTGTTTTTTTCCTTTTTAACATCTCTTATCCACGTATTATAAAATTTGTGTTTTAATTTACTGACAAAGGCAAACAACAGCCTTTCTTTTGGAGTTAAGCATGTTGTGGGTTACAAAATCCAACAACAAACAAACAGTCAATCAGGAAATGAACTAAACAACTGGAAAAAAMCACATAAAAAGTAAAATAAGTGAGCTTAATAAAATATCCCCTTCACAGTGAATTAAAAATCATTTTGGTTTTGGTGAGATCTGGTGCACATTAGGAATTCAGTGGCTCTTCTAACTTTCTGAAAGTTTTGAGCATGCGCAGCAATTCATTGGTGGTGCCCACACATAAAGGCATAAATTGAGGCCAAATTGTGCACATTGGCCTCATACAGGCTTTGATCATGATGGTGACAAGGTCATAGAAACGCTGCAGCATTGTGCCATCTTCTATCACAACATCTTCATTTGGTCCAAATGAGTTGTGCCACTGTGGTGTATAAGGTGTGGTGGAGGTACAGGAAAAAACTATTTACTGAATATTATGACTGCAGCTATGGGGCACCATTTAAAGTTAAAAGTTTTGTAGAAACTTAATATTTAACTACCATATTTATTCATGTATAATACGATCTCTTGTATAATATGAACCCCATTTTTTGAGCTTAAAAAGCATAAAAAATTTAATCCTCAAACTACCTCCAATTTCAAACAGACTTTATGACTTTGCGGCCTTTATACATATCAGTAAAATGATCATTGGACTGTTCATTTTATTTTAACAACATATGTACTAAAAGGTATTTTGACAACAAATATATATCAGCT